CATCAAAAGAAATTGCCAACAAAATGAAAAGACAACCCACAAATTTCGAGAAAATCTTGACAAGCACTCAGACAAAGGTCTGCTCTCTAGAATATATAAAGAACAAAAAAATTAGGGTCCCAAAATTTAAAGACCCCATCCAGAGATGAACACACACTTCTCAGAGGATGAAATTAAAGCAGCAAATAAATATATGAAAAATGATTCACATCACTAGCCATCCATGAAATTTAAATGAAAACAACACTGAGATACCATCTCACCCCAGAAAGAATGGCTATCATAAACAAATCAACTAACAACAAATGTTGGAGAAGCTGTGGGGTAAAAGGAACCCTTCTCCATTGATGGTGGGAATGTAGGCTGGTGCAACCATTATGTAAATCAGTGTAGAGGTTCTTTAAAAAAACTAGGACTGGAAATCCCATTCAAGCCATCTATCTCCATACTGGGAATTTTCCTGGAGGAATTGAAAACATCATATCATAGTGATACAAGTGTACCTATGCTTATAGCCGCACATTGTGTGATAGCGAAATCTTGGAAACAACCATAATGCCCATCACCTGAGGAATGGATGAAAACGATGTGGTGTTTTTATACAATGGAGTATTACTTAGCTATAAAGAATGATAAATTTGAAGCCTTCACATTTAAGTGGATGCCACTTGAACATGTACTCATAAGTGAAATAAACCAGACACACATGTTTAAATATCATATTCTCTCCCTAATATAAGAACTCAAAAGAAGAAATAGAAATAGAAAGGTATAATGCAATTAAAAGGAAAGTGAGAACTTGAGGATTAGACAAAGAAAAAGGCAAGAAGTAAAGCTAGTAAACATGACGGGGCAAAACCATACATTTATACGTACAAGATGGATAAGACAGTGACCCTGAGAACTATCAGTATGTTGTTGAATCTAACAGTTACTGGTTGGGATTCTTACCCTAACTAACTATATATGCTGATACATCTGAACCGAGCGACTGCACCAAAGATATCAATATGTAATAGTGGGGTCATGCATGGAATGCCTGTCATTCTCATCTTCTCAATACATACTACTTGTCATGACATACCAATTATGGCCAGACTGTATCTCAAGTAAGTGGGGTTTTTTTCTCCTTTTTCATTAAAAGATGTTCCTAAGATGTTTAATATTCAGACAGATAGTGAGGTTAAACCCACCTGTATATGTTGTAGGGCAATAATAAGTTTCTCTTCTGGTGGGTTAACAACCTAAGTTTGCAGACCAAAAATCAGACAAAAAGTAGGACTACAAAGACAGCCAATGTTTTGGCCCTAGCCTTTCAAGGGTCAGTGAGGACCCAGGATATAGGAGAATCTGTACTGTAGCACCATGTAACTCAGTTGTGCCCCAAATTTTCTGATCAAGTACATTCTGGGGCCACAGCGGAATATGATCAATGATGTAGTGTGTGTCTCAAGAGAGTCACATGGAGAGAAAACATTCTCTCAGTCTTTCTCAGAGAGCAAAGTGATCAAGCAATGGCTGTGACTCATCTATATGGCTGATACTGACAAAGGACCTATAAAGTGTGGTACAGGGTTTCGGGATAAGGCCTGAGGGGACTTGACTGACCGTGTCAGATACAAAAGTTACATTTCTTATTCTATAGGTTTACTTTATCTTGGTCTTAATCATCCAGCAGAAAAGTGTTGAAACGAGGTATGAAAAAGTGAAGCCATGTTAATATGCTGAGCCGTGTAAGTGTCAAGTCATCAGATTCGGACATTGACAGTCCTGTGGATAACCCACTACTATTGTGGACTACTGGACTATATTAGAATATTTTGCTGAATTCATGCACCTACAATATTTAGATGGCAATGGAATACCCATCTCTGACAAAACTGAACAAGAAAAGGTGATACAAATGAAGGACAATATTGTATCTGTATATACAAAATAGGATAGATATATAGCTACTTTCTCTAAATTTAATAAGAAGAAAGATCTGTACTGATAGCATTTGGAAATGATATCATGTCTGCATCTTGTGCTATGAATGACTACTACAAAGACAATAATATGCAATGTATTAATTGTTGGAAGTCTCCTAACAACCTGTTTTGAAGCTGTCACATTGCAATTTTTTCTCAATAAAATTGATTTTTTTAAAAAAATTTTAAATGCAAACACACAAACAAACAAACAAACAAACAAACAAAAAGCCAGCCTGAGCTACTAAATGAGTTCAAGGCCGGCCTGATCTGAATAGTAAAACCGTGTCTCAAAAAGACAAAAGCAAAATCAACTTATATGATTACAAGTATATCTAATTAGCTAACACTGATCTAATAGGGAAACAAGTCATGTGGGAAAGGTACATGGAAAGAACAAAGGCATTTTTTTTCATAAGTGAGGTAATATGGGTCCAGATGTCCTGGTCACTCACCAGTGCGCCCGATGCTTAGCTCAGCTCACTGGATCTAGTGGTACTAATTGTAGTCTAATCCTAAATTGCTGCCTATCTGGAGGAAGGCATACAGGCCTAGCTCTTGCTTTTCCATCCTGAGGCTTGGTTCCCTTTAGATTTGCCACCAGCCACAATTCTGATGTCTTTATTTTTTGTGCCATTTCCTTGAGAGCCCAGTCCCACTCTGACTGTATATTAATTTCTACCTAACTTCCCTGTCTGCAACCCTCAGTCTGCATTGTGTTTGCAGATTACACATGCCAAGTATCTATTTCGACCCTTCATTGGATTTTATTAAATTTTGATAATATATCCCTGGCTTAATTCTATTCATAGTAACAATGGCTTGTTTAAGTAAACATTGTCATGTGAGTGTTCTCTGAATGAGCTGTGTACAATAGCCTTCTTTTAAATTATATCAAATTGTCAAATGTGTTATCAGTGGAACAAATTTCTAGTTTATTAGATCAACGGTCAGAAAAGTATGGCCTGCAGGTCAAATTTTCCAGTAACCTGTTTCTGAGAAAAAGCTTTGTTTCATTGGAATACAGCTACCATTATACCTTTCCTATTGTTAAGATCGTTATCATTGTACAATAGCAGAGCTGAGTTGTTGTGACAGACATAGTATGGTTCGCAAAGCTTAAACTATTGCCTGGATTTTCATAAATTCTTTGATGTATGTCAACATCCTACTTACTTCCAAGCTCTGAACACTCTCCACTTTCACACGAGTGGAAAACCCCCACTTAATACTTAATGGCGGTGCCTAGGAAGGCTGCCAAAACCATTTATGTTCTGCATTCATTTGCTTGTTTCCCCTCTACAAGGACTTGTGCATTCATGTACCCTCTCATGGCAATTTGGAGGACTATGTCACATGGATGACGGTACGTGCTATGAGCTTCAGATCCTCACCTATGTAAACCAGGAGCCTGAGGGCAGAGTCAACTAACCTGGAGCTGAGATGCCCATGTCAGCAGGGCTCCTATCACTGACCTCATTTGCTCACAGGCAGTGAGGCTCGCGCACAGGTATTTATGTCTTGCTACAACTTGTCTCTCATCTTGAAACTTCCTGCAGCAAACCTGGCTATTCAGGTTAGCACTGTGTATCAGGCAGCTTTCATTATGTCACACTCTAGTCATAAAAATAATAGCCAAATCTTCATGCTCACACAGCAAAGACTTTTAATTATACTACAAATCTGCTAAAGATTGTCTCAGAATATGCTTCCATAGTCTATGGCCATACCACCCTGAATGTGCCCGATCTTGTCTGATTTCAGAAGTGAAGCAGGGTCAGCCCTGCTTAGTACTTGGATGGGAGAATATGCTTCCACAATCCAGGCTTACCAAACAGTTTCTCTTGGTTATATATTCTGGGAAAGTGATGGCAAACCCTTTTAGAGCTTTCAGTGACAGAAACTTCAGTCAGGTGTGTTATGTATGTCACATGTCCCTCACCATTGGTCCAGGGGTAGATGGAAAAGAGATATGGCAGAATGACCCAATCATTCTTAAGACTTCTGCTAAAACATCACTTGTAGTTGTATGCACATTCCACTAACAAAAATGAGTTCTTGGGGCAGTTTGATAACAATGGAATGGGAAAGGCACTACTGGAAGTCACATGGCAAAGCCCAAGATTATAAGTTTGTATTGAGGATGGAGAAAAATTAGGGATAATATCACTGTTAAGGCTTGTGTCTAGTTGTCCCCCCAAAGCCTCATGCAGTTATGGGGCAGGGACTTCGAGAGTTGGAGACTGACTCATGGCCACTGGGATTATGGGTCTTAGTAATGCTGGGATTATGGATGTGAGAACTACACCCGCCCTTGTGGTGGACATCCTGAATGTAACATAAAAGAGACCAAGAGACAGACATGCTCTCTACTGCCATTTTGCTGCTACTCCTCCATTTTGCTTGTGCTCTCTGCCACCACCATGAACTGCTGCCCTCTGCCATGTGCCAGTCTGCCTTGAAGCCAGCTGAGTATGGACTGAAACCTCCAGTGATTATGAGCTAAATAAACCTTTCCTTCCTCAAAAAAAGACAAAAGCAAGTATAAAATAAATAAATAAGTTTGCCTAATGATAATTTAAATTCTCCATGGCAACCTGCTCTAATATGGGCTAAGGTGCTAGATACTCTGTATGATGTGGCCTTGATGGTACAGCATAAATAACTAGAGATGAGTAGAGGCAGTAGCAGAATGAAGCAGACTCACACCCATTGTCCTAGGGATGGGTGCAGAATGGGGAGGTACACTGCCTCTCGCACTGATGTGAATGTTGATGTGGCTGTGTTATCATGCACACATGCAGAGTGAGTCCTGTAGGATGTGGGGGTTCTCCCAGATCCCCATCAAGGATGCTGTTCTCAAGCTTTCTGAGGAGGTGCCCCAGTCAGCAAATGCAAGCACCCAGTTTTCTCTGATGGATAACATTTCATGCAGTTGGTTTAGGGCAGTTCAAGAGAATTGTAGATACAGAGGCACTTTTACCATACCATGCACATTTTGAACATACTCACTATTGTGAAGAAACTTACCGTTTTTACCAAATACACGTTCTCGAATAGGGCTCAGTGGGCGGTTCAGAAAGTCCTGGCCCGGGTGGGTAAGGACTTCTCTTATTAAGGGCAATCCAGTTACAAGCACCATAGGCAGGTCAGCCAAGTCCATACTAACAAGGTTACCATATTTCTTCACATACTGAAAGATATTAAAATAGTCACAGTTGAATATGCATATGTATATGCACCCAGGGATGGAGAGTCATATGTCAAAAGGACTTTCATGGAGGGATCCTGGGTTTTTGTCAGCAGTGGATGCATTATCGTTCTGAGGGATACAATTCTGAATTATTTCTCTTCTCTCAATCAAGTCAAATTCAATGAACTTCAGGAGTGAAGTTCCATTAGAAGTGTATTCATGTCCTCAACCTGTGAACTGAGTGAGCATCTATCTTCAAGGATTCATTGGGATACAACTGCCCTAAAATAAATTGTGTCCTTAATCTGACATATCCTAGAATCTAGTGAAGACCGAGAATTCATCATCCCTGGCCTGCTGAAGAAGGATATGTTTATTCAAAGTCTGGTATAGTAAAGGTACACTCCTTGGTGAAGCAGCCTGAAAAGAAGGTCCCCATTGTCAGGATAGGTTAGTCAATGGGAAGTACACTGTACAATGGAGGCAGACACCAAGCAGTCTCTCTAGCTCTAGGGTTATCTGAGGTCTTGGCTCTGTGGTTTAGCATCATAGGCTCTTGGAGCAGATACTCCACTTTCTGAGCCTCAGTTCCTCAGCTGTAAAATAGGAAATTTTATTCTGTGGATAAGAATTAGAGCAGCTATGAGAATGTCATTTTTCTTTCTGGAACACTGAGGCTGATGACCTTTATGATCAAATGAAATAGGGAGTTGTTATGGTTTGTGTCTAGGTGTCCTACTTCAAAGCCTCATGCAGCCATAAGGCAGCTTTTAGAGTTTGTGATTAATTCATGATGCAATGCTGGGAATATGGGTATGAGTGCTGCACCCATCCTGGGGCGCATAGCCGGAAGACAATCTAAGGAAGTGAGAGAGGCTTGCTAGCTGCTGCAGCGGCTGCTCCTCCCTTCATTCTTTGCTGTTTTCCACTGCCATGAACTGATGCTCTCTGCCACGTGCCGCTCTGCCTTGGAGTCAGTTGTGTATTGGACTGAGACCTCCACAAACTGCAAGCTACATAAACCTTTCTTTCCTTAATTTGGGGTACTGAGTATTCTGTCCCAGCAATGAGGAAAAAGCAACAAAGACAGTGGTGTAATGAAAGCTGAACTGTCTGAACTGTGGAGCACTGCAAAGGGCACCAAAGAGACATGTCTGGAGTTTCCTTGGAAAACAAAAAGGCTTCTAGGGAGGCAAAAAGGGAAGCTCTACAGCCCCTTAAGACACTACCCTTATTTCAATTTCTTTTGAAGAACCATTAAATGAGTCTATACTTATCATAAAAGGGCTTCAGAACAAGGGAAAATTGAAAAGGGATACATTGGTGGCATTTAAAAACATTACTATTCCCTCAAGGGATACAGTGGAAGACTACAAAAACACTTTTTAAGTTTTTCCATATCAGAAGAGATGCTACACTGGGAATGGTCCATTGAATTTGCACAGGACTAATATTAGTGGCGGTCATTCAATAGGTCTGCAAACCTTTAACACTCTATACTTACAGCAACCTTAACATACATAAACCATCTCCTTTACTACAAGCTGTACAGAGGAGAGGGATGTACCATGGAGAAGCATGCCAAGTAGACTTCAACCATATGCCTACACATGGAGGATCTAAACAAATGTTGGTCCTAATTGACACTGGTATAGGCTTGATGTAAAGCTTTCCTACTGATGAAACAAAAAAGGGGAGGAAGAATTTTAAAAAGGCTACTGAGATAGTCTTCAAGTTTCTTTAAGAAATCATCCAACATTTGGACCATCCCAGTCTCTCCAGAGTGACAATGGACTTTCTTTCACCTCTCAAATAATTCAGGGAGTGGCAAAGGCTTTAGGAATCAAATGCAACATTCATTGCATTTGGCAGCCTCAATCACCTGGAAAGGTAAAGAGAACCAACCAGAACTTAGAGCCAACTCTGCCAAACTTTGCCAAGAGATGTCTCACTTCTGGCTCTGATTGCTACCAATAGCACTCATGAGGGTTGTAACGTGCCCAAAACTGGGGTAAGTTTGAGTCCATTTCACATGTTACATATGGAGGCCATTTCTTTCCTCTGATGTGATAGTAGACCCAGACACTATGAGATTTTTATAATAAATACCTCATCAGTGAGGACCAAGTATGACAGGCTATCAAATAAATGGGAAGAGTCCTGCCAGCCCCTGGCCTGTGGGGAGCTCAGGTGTCTGTCCCGGAGACCAAGAGGTTATGAAAACCTCTAGAGAGGGAATACCAGCAGACCAATTAAAGCCAAAGTGGAAGGGCTCATTTTCAGCTATCCCATGATACCCATTGCAGTAAAGGTGGCAGACATAAATGGATTCAGCTTTCTAGATTAAAGCTGGTACCACCAAAACTGTCTGAAAACAAAGACCCTTGAAAAGGAGAGAGCTACTCCTGTAGGCCTCTGGAAGACTTGAGATTTCTCTTCAAATAAGAATACTTTAGTGCTGCCACAGATGAGTAAACAAGATTCTTACTGATGTCATGGCTCTTAGACTCGATAATTTCTCTGACAACTGTTTAATGTACATTTTTCTCCATAGGAAACACAGAAACCTAACCTGCTCCTCACATTTGGACTATTAATAGTTTCTTTCTCCCACCAAACAGGCAGCTTGGTGGTTACTAATTCTCTCATTTTCTAGCACACTGTTCTGTCTTCAAACCTGTCAGAGAGCCATAGCACCCAAGGTAGGTAGAGAAACATAATCCCCAGTAGGTAGGATCTACAGCTTCTTCCAGCTCAAAACTGTAGAAGACAGGGCCCTCCACTCTTTCAGCACTCCATAATGAATTATGGGACTTATGTCTCTCAACGGTAAATGAGACAGGACATATGGCATGGCTTAGGCTGCCTGGGAAGAGAGGCTTGGTGGGACCCCAGGATCTACAAAACACTGCCTCTCAAGACCCCATATCTAGAGCCTCTTGCAAGTTCCCAGGAGATGTGGATGGTATAAAAGAAGGGGACGCAAAAAGAAGCTCATTCTCATGACCCTTCATGGTAGTTCTGGATACTCAGTATATACTTTTTTTTTCTCCCTTTTATTCAGCCTAAGTTTTCTCTGCAGAGCTACTTTCTCCTTCACCCCTACTTTCGAACCTTGTCCCTACTTTTTGGCTTCCTTGTTCAATTTTTTCTTTGAGGGGAGTAAGAACTAGAATATGTTTAATAGGCATGCCATTTCTAAAAGGAACTACCCCACAACACACCCATTTCCATTTCCCCGACCCACGGGACGCTACTCACATATAATGATGATGGTATAAGACAGAGGCATTAACCCAGGAGGAACTGGAGGTTGGATGAGGTTGTGGTTCAAAGCCTCCCTACCCTAGACTTCATGGCTGTGTTTGAGCACTGTTACGTGAATTAGCTCTCACTTCTTTTATATCATTGTATTTTGAGGTCTCTGTGTTGTAAACAACTTGATGAGCAACTACTTCTTAATTTATACAACTTAGGTACCACTTCAGTCTGATGAGATTTTTCTTTTGTTTAGCTAAATGTTCCCATCATCAGCCACATGGCTATGGTAGCAAATGCTTGGCAAATGGGAGAGGGAGAGTAGTGAGGCTGCCTGCATGCCATGCAAACAGTCTGGATTCCGGCCCTTACTCTCCCTGTGCTTTCGCACATGACTTCCCCCACTGAAAAGTTCCTATTTATTTGTCAGACTTAGCCAATTACCAAACAGGCCTTGAAAGTCCAGCCAATGTTTTCAGTATTTAACTGTGCTGTCACCTCACTGGTGCTCTCAGCAAGATGCGGGGAGAGGGTGACTTTTGACAGAATTTCCAAGGCTGTGAGTTCTGGGCAGTGAACTCTGGCTGGAGAGGATTGTAGAAGTGGACAGAGGCTGCCCTCAAATGGCTGCTGAAGGAATCAGGCATGGAAAGAGACATTCAGGATGATTTTGGTGAGAGAGCACAGCAGGGGCACACAGTGGGGGCCAGGATCAAGGAAGTGTGGAAGGCAGTGGTCCTGGGGCCAAGGGTGAGATTCTTAGGTGGCAATGTCACCATTTTGCCTATCTAGAAGGGAGCCGCTGATGAAGAAAACACGACGTTTTCAAAGGGGACAAAGTTATGCAAAAGAGAACAAAGTTATATCACAAGTAAGTTGTTTCGATGTTTAAGACACGATGAAATGACCTTACCACACTGAAATAGTAAACATTTCAGCATACTCCAGCACCAGGAAGGCAGATGGGTGAGACTAGTCCCCAGAAGAAATATGAATCTGAAAGCAGGGCTCCAGCCCTTTTCCCAGCGGTCCTTGTTATGCGGGCTGGATGGGGGTGAGGAAGCGACCATCCTCCCTATCCCTCCTACCTGCTGAATGACCAGATTCGACTTGTCAAAGTCGGTGTGGTAGAAGTTTCCCACGAAAGGAAGGCGCCAGGGCCCGGGAGGGAAGTTCTTTGGGCGCCTCCTTTTGAGGAAGTCGGCAAGCAACAGGAAGATGAAAGCGCCCAAGAGAAGGGTGCGAAGGTGGATCGCGCCCCAGAGGACGACCGCCAGGGAGCTCACTGCCTCCAGCATGCCTACGACCTGCGCTGGGACTGGCGAGCTGGGATGGGGTCTGCCAAGCGCAGATCCGGGTGCCCAGGCCAGCCCGCTCCGCCCCGCCTTCCTCCAGCTGAGCTCCGCCCTCCCCACCCGCTGAGCCACTGCTGCCCCTCCTTCCGGGGCCGGGTCCTTCACTCTGCTGAGCCAGCCCTCTGCTGAACCTTTGGACAGTGGCAAGGGACTCTATCCCTGTGACTACCAACACCCTTCCTGGAAAACGCCCTTTAGGAAGGGTTTCTTTTTTTGATAAAATCTATTTTTTTTCTTCTTTCTTTTTTGGATAAATTGTGGTTTCATCACAAATGCAATGCTACATAGTAGTGAAAATAAATGAATGAAACATTAAGTATACCATAATAATAAGCAAGGGACTTGATCTTTTGCTTATAAAAACCACTTTCTTCCATACCTGAGGCTCCTGGGCTCAGATTTGGACGCATCTCAACATAGAGCGCTTCATCATTGGAGTTGGAGTTTTCCAATCATCCACCCACCTGGCCTGTAACCTCTCTGGCAGCTCACTCTTTTCCTGAAGGGCTTGTTTTCACAGATGGTCCTTTCAGGCCTAATTTCCAGTTGAACATGCACTAGGATAAGGGAATCCCTGAGACTAAAAGATGCCCAAAAGAAGCCTTCTATTTGAGAGTTCTTTAAAGAAGACAAAAGAATTACATCAACTCATCCAGCACTGTGCACAGTCCATAGTAAGTGGTGGCTGATGTTGGATGTGAAGCTCCTGTTACAGCCTCTAAACTCGGTGCCATCCTGGGGTGCCCACTTGATTCTGCCCATCTGAGGGATACTCAAGGCGAGAGGAACAGTTCTCGAAGACCGGAAGATGCACGTGTATGCAAAGCAGGAGTACACACATTGCTTTAAAAAGCCTTTTAATGAAAAAACAAAAGAGAGAATTGGAATTTAATTTTGCAAGTAAGGATCAGGAAGATTAATCAGCTAGCATTTTGATTGATTGATTGATTGATTGATTGATTTATATTTGGTGGTACCAGGAATTGAACTCAGAACACTGCACTTGCCAGGGAGCCAGCATTTATTTATTTATTTATTTATTTATTTATTTATTTATTTATTTATAGAACTGGGGGTTGAACTCTGTCCATGCACTTGCCAGGGAAGCGCTTATTCCACTGAGGCATCTCTCCAGCCTCAGGAGGATTAATCAGGATTTAGCATGTGTAATACCAGTCCACCTGGGCCTGTTTTACTGCAGTTATTATGCAGTCAAGTGCTATTTTGATCCTTACGTGAAAACTTTATTCTACCACTGTTTTAAATTTTCTTGCTCCTCGTCCCACATTATTAGTCTGACTTATGCATGATATACTTAATTCATTTTATTTGACAGTGAGGTAATCTTCTATTACATCAGGTTTTTTTCTTGTTCCTGTATCAAATAGGCACAGATTAATTAGCTCTTATTGTTTTGAATTAAAACCAGTGCTAGAGATGATTGAGTTATCATTCTAGGCACTATTAGAAGCTCTTCTGCCAGGCATGGTGGCACATGAGTACAATCCAAGCCCTCAGGGGCTCAGGAAGGAGGATCACTGCAAGTCTGCGGCCAGCCGGGGCTGCAAAATGAGTGTAATGCCTGAACTGCATAGTGAAACTGTCTAACAAAAATGGTAGTAGAGGTTCTTCTCATCTTCTTAGGGAAACAATATTTTATTAGAAATTATTTACAAAGCAAAAAAATCTTTGAAAATTCTTCTATGATATACAGATAGAAACTTTTATACAAGAAAAATCTACTAAATCCTAAAGAAAGGAGCGGGCATCTAAACTATGTCTTGTTCCATTTATCAATGCCTCACTCAGTGTGATTCAAGTTTAGTTCTACATGTGTACCCAAGAATATTTCTCCTAACTTCTAGATCTAGAATACAGTGTCTCCCTGACAATGATAGACCAGCAGAGTTCTCATGTTCCCAGGGAGCTTCCATTTCCCATGGAGCTCCTTACTAGGTAGCAGTGCCTGAGACATCCAGAGAAATGCTCCTCCATCAGCTCCCACTTGTGTGCAGTAGCATTACCTCTGGCCTTCAGGCTGAGAAGAATGGGCCACTCTGGCTTTGTCCCAGTTGCTCACAGAAGAGACACCCATATTATGAGATCTTAACCACAACCACCAGACAGGTGCCCCAATCAATAGATATGATGGGGGTAAATTAATCCAAATGGGGAGAAGTCCATGAAGTGGTAGTTAAGTTATAGCAGATTGAAAGATTGCATTGATGAAGGAAGGAAAGAAGACTCTTCCTGAGGTCAGAAACTCTAAGACCAGCCTCAAAGGCTAACAGAGAAAGATCTAAAACCTAACATGATCACATCATAAAACTATGTATCTCCTGGGATTTGTTGAAAAGAATGGGTCAGTGACCAGGAAGTTAGTGGAGGCTAACACCAGTGCTCTAAACACAGGAAGGTGGCTTGCTAGAGAAAAGAAGAGAGATGGTGAAA